TGTTTTGCCATATTCTTGGGCAATTGGGTTTTGGAGCGACTAGTTTGAATCCCAGGTTTCGCCATATTCCCCTTTGATAATTAGAGGTGTCAGTCTTGCGTCCTGTTTTGAAGTATGCATCAGCCCCAGCAAGCAGCCGGGCAAGACGCTAGTCTCCTAGGCTTGCGCCGGAAAACCTCGAGTTGCACTCGGGGGTGTTTGGTTTGAACGCCCACCAATGCTTGGCAGGGAATGAGACGTGGAATGTCCCGTATAAACCATCCAACTGGTGGTTTCCTTTATTCGGGAATCCCCACACCATTCCCGCATTGACTGCTGCGCACCAGCAAGATTTTGAGCCCGCTTTGTTTGCTGAGGAATGAGGCAATGACCCCAAAGTGAACCTTTGGGTTCTTTAAGGGAATCAGGTTCAGAACTTTTGGGATTCCATCGAAACCTGGATAGGGGACAAGCGCAGCCATCAACAACCAACCACATCCTCGCACCGCCGCACCCTGGAAGCGCTCGCTCTTCCGCGCCGAGGAGTTGATCGCCGGCGCCAAGAACGACGCGGTCTTCCGAAGCCGGTTGAGGGTCATGGACATTGACGAGAATGATTTGCAGCAGTTGCTTGGCACATGGAGCTTAACTGTATGTATGTGTAATATATTATATTATACTATACTGTATTATGTCATGTTACATTATATCACATTACATTACATTGTATTGTCTTATATTATGTTATATTATATCATGTTATATTGTTTGTTATTATATCATATTATATCACATTATATTTTACTACATTACATTACATTACATTGCATTCTATTATATCATATCATATCATATTATATTGTGTTATGTTGTATCATTTCTAGTGTAGTATAGTATAACACAGTGTAGTACACACGATTTACTATCATTTCACTCCCGTGAACATTGAGTTGAACACCATGCACCGTGAACATTTTTTTTTTAAACGTGAAATCAAGATTGCAACTTGAAATAGCTATTGGGAACTTTTGTTTGCTTGATTGCTATTGGATCTGACTTTAGCTTTTTGGTTGACTTCCAAGGGTTTTCCTCATAGGTAGTTACAAGAAGGTAGCCACGTAAAATTCATCCAAAATTGACAGCCTTGTCATAGCCTTGTATTTTTTTGGTAATTGTTGTTTCCCTTACAATAAAAGTATTTTGTGTCTTGCCGGGGAGGTAAACAATTGCCTGGGCGCCGGCTTATGAGCTAAGGCTTTTTCAGATGATCGACATTGACGAGTCGGGTTCGTTGCAGGTGTCCGAGTTTATTGGCCCGCTCAGCCGATGGGCTCGCGACTCCAAGACGGAATCTTGGAGCAATGAGGGATGTGGGGATCATGTAAGCTCAACTGCTGTGCTAAGAGAGTGCCTGCATGGGCGAGCGCGGGTGGGTGAGAGAGAGAGAGAGAGAAAGACCGTTTGTGCACATCAGTGTAACATGTTGTGCACGCAGTGCAGCATGAGAGCCGACCTTTTCACAGGCACCGCGCTTCATCAAGTATAACTTGATGCAGTCAATGCAGATGCAAGAGGAGCGCCCCTGCGTTGTTCGCGTGGCATCTCAGACACACCGTACAAGGTGCTGCGGCAGGGGTCAGATTCATCCTTCACAATCTGGACTACCCTGGGTGTCATGTTCAAAGGGAGAATATGTGGGTGTGGGTCAAAATTAAACCACCGGAGGACCGCAGGTTTTAATCCTGGGTTCCATTGACCGGGGTTCCATTTTGGGTACCCATTTTTGACCCACAGCCATGTGACCCTGCGAAGGATTGCTCCGGGGCTTTTTTGGCCAAGACGAAAGAGGATTCGTTTGCAAACTTCCATTTCTGGTGTTTTCCCCCTATTTGAGGATTCGAGGTCGCAGCTATTGGGGTCAAAAATAGGTGCCCCAAATGGGTTGGTCCAGTAAATATGGGGTCATGGACTAAAACCTGCGGTCCATATCCTGATGCTTCAATGACCCATACCCATTTGGCGTTTCAGGGAACATCTCTTATCTTTGATCCTGCGATCCACATCGACAGCCAAACCGGAGCCCACCATAGGGGCGCTCATATGTCTGGCTTGTGTTGACACTGGCGGACTCAAACTTTTCCTTTAGGACCCTCTATTGGGAAGGTGTTTAAAGCCCGCAGGGAACCTGCTTGACCCCCCAATGTAGGAGAGTTGGAGAAAAAAGCATTGGGCCCCTGCAATTCATGTTGCACCCTTTGGAACCCGCGCAGGCTCTAGAAGCTTTCTTCGGGTTGTCACTGTGAGGGGCTCCCCTTGAAAGTGACACAGCATCTCATTTACATCGAAAATCTGGAAAACGAGGGTTTCCTAAAATAACTAGTTTTTCATTCGAGGGTTTCCTAAAATCTGAAAGCGAGGGTTTCCTAAACGAGGGTTTTTTCCATGTTCTAGGGCAGGGATGGGCAGGCCCACTCGCCCTTTGGCTCCGTCCCCAACACTTTCCCCTAAGGACGCTTGGGCGGCATGCTGACGCCATGCTAAGATCGAACGCCCAAGTTGGCATCACTAAAGGAACTCTTACCCAGAGGGTCCAAGTACCTTCTAGGGAGGTACTTAGAGCCCTTTTTACCCCCCAAAAGCCATCCTCAGGAGGTACTTGGACCCTCTGGGTTAGATTTGGCGAACATCCATTTTTCAGCGGCTTGCCTTTGGTTCCTTTGGTGTCTCCCATTTGGTTCAGCCCCAAAACTTGGGCCACTGGAGTTACGTTTTGGCCCATCGCGCCAGGACCTGCTGGAGCTGTCGGACCGACGCTTCACGCGCTTGAGCACGCAGCTGGAAACCTTGGCCAATCAGCTGTCAGCCGTCACCGGAGGCGAGAGCGAGCCGGAAGGCAGGGCTTGGCTGTTGGATGCACACTGTGGCCATGAACCTTGGTGGCTCCCAGCCATCCGGTTCTTTAGCTTTTTAGCCTTTTAGCTTTTAGTGGGGATGTCCATTTAACCCACTAAAAGTTAAACTTTTAGCGGCGGATCTGAGGGCAGCCCAGTTATGTTTTTCGAACCCACTTCTCAAGTGGATAGACATGAATCGGATTTCGGATGTCCAAAACGGTATGTACAGGCTCTGCACGCCAGCCTCCCATGTCCGCCAGGTCCCCAAACCCAGGAATCCCAGGAATCCACGTTTTGCGCAAGAACCCGGGTCCGCTACTGCGACGCAAGCACAAACAACAAGCAGCTTCAAGTTGCATACCACGCCGCTCTTCTCTGGAATGAGCTTGAGAAGAGCAAGCAGTCGGCGGGTTAAAATTGACCAACTCGAGCGTTTGGCTTCCTTGTCCTAAACCTCCGGTGCCAAATTTGTCTTCGCTGGAGCACTGCCGAGTGTCTAATCGCGATTGGAGTCAGAGGACTTGGCACGTGGCCGAAGCCAAGTACAACTTTGCGGATTGAACGTGTTTCCCCCGCAAAGGTTGAGAGCCCGTTGAAAGTAGAACCAGGGCTTGATTCATGGGTGAAGAGCTGATTTGTTTGGCTTGAGATGGACAGTGTCTCATGGGAAACGAAAACGAAGCCAGCGTGAGTTCGACTGACTTAGTGACTCCCCAGAAATTGTCTGTATTTCTAGGAGATTCCGCAAACACCATCCATGGGCAGTTCTTCTCCGTGTGGGACAACCCAAGCAACATGTATCTACCTTTTTCTGACTTGTTCTTTGGGGTGGGATGGGGAACGCCTGGTAGTTTGTGAGCTTTGGAACGATGGTAGCTTTTGACCTTAGCCATTATGCTGAGCTGGACAAGGTAAGCAGAAGCCACGGCGAAGGAACCACGAAGTTTGTTCTATGATACATGTGGGGCTGTGCTTTTTTGAGGGTGCCCCTTTTTGGATGGTTTTGCAGGGACACCAAAAGGAAAACCATCATTTGTTGTTGTCTTTTTGCTTGGGGGGGGAGGTCCCCCAAAAAAACATACCCATGTATCGGGCTGCCAGTTGTCCCCTTAGTTGCCTAAATTAGCCTAAAGCACCAGTGCACAATACCCGCGAACATTGCAGCTTCGCAAGGTCTGCTGATGCCTACTAGTAGTGGCGACGATTCCTTCAACACTACGGCTTCAAGCTCGCATGACCAGCCACCTGGCAGAACATCCCACAGAGACCTTGAATTCCCATGAAGAGGGATGTGGGCATTTTCCACTTTCAAGTTGCTGGTGCAATTGGTAGGGAATGAGAAATGGAATGACCCCGAGAGAAACCATCCAATTGGTTTCCCTGGTGGTTTCCCTCAAGACCAGTTCATTCCCACCACATTCCCAACCGCAGCGATCGCAAGCTGTCAGGATCTCAGCGCCGCATGCCAGCGGCCATCCAGAGCTCCTGGAGTCGAAGGATAGCTCCCATTTCGCGCTCGAGTCGCAAGCCTCTAAGCTGAGAATGGGGTGCTTTGGGTTTTGGGATGGAATTCTCCTCGCCTATTGGGCGCACAGTTTTTGCTTCAGATGCTTTTGCTTGAATGGCCCCATGCTTCATGTTCTTGGGCCCTTGGACCAACAGGCGAGCTTGCCAGTTGACATCGACGATCATGATTGTCACTCGCGCAGAGCACCCACACTTGCGCCGTGGCCAACATTATGTTTGGATGGGGAGTGCGGAACATTGCGAGGGTTTCAAGCTGTCAAACCAGGGGGAGTGATGTTTGAACATTACGAGTCTGAGGGTTGCTGGAAAACTGGAACAGCTCTCACTCCCCGATCTTCCAGGCAACCTGACTGCGAGCTAGCCCCGCCAGGTTGAAGCCAAATGCCAGATGTGTCAAACCAGGGGATCCACCCCCATAAAAGAGATGTTCCTCTTGAATTCCTTGTGAACCAAGTTTGAAAGGGTGAGAGAAAGGAATGATAAGGATGCATCCGGATTCTTACTCATGACTCAGAACCTATGGATCCATGAAGCTTCCGGATGCATTGTTATGCCTCCTCCGCCCTTATTATTGGTGATTATCTGGTGGCGGAGGAAGTCACAATAATGTTCTTTCCTTATTCTTCCAATTCCCTTACAAGATTAGGAATGGGGATGAAGATAAAAGATGGCTCTCAGATAACTCGCTCACAAACAGAGCGGAGAGAGGAGTGATAGAGTTATAACACACACGCTCAGGCATGATGGTGCAGATAGGTCGACACAAGTAACAGAAGCAGCTTTGTCGCTGGAGTTGTATTCAGTGTGCGGGGGAATTTGTGGGAAGTCGTTCCGAGATTGGATGTGCAGAACGTAATTTGGACAATACTGACAACAGACTGCACCCAACTGGGTTCCCACTTTTTGATTACCCCAAGATGAACTTAAACCCAGGGGTGGCAACCTTGATGTCCTCTAAAGGGAACCCCCGTCAATCTTGGGGAAGTCAAAAAGTGGAACCCTGTCACCCAATCTAGTGTTTTTGCTTTTAAGGTGTGATTGCAGCAGTTTTTCGCTCCGCAAGCACCTGTTGCGGCTGGGAATGTTGGTGATGTGTGTGGTGGTGCAGAGCGGGCGGGCTGGGGATGCCAGAGATGCTGGCTGGTAATGCAGGATATGCTGGCTGAGCTTTCCCTAGTTTTCCCTTGCTTTCCCTCGGTTTGGCTTGGTTGCCCTTGGTTTCCATTGCTTTGCCTTGGTGTTCCTTGGTTTTTCTTGGTTTCCATTGCCTTCCCTTGCTTCCCTTGCTTTCCCTCAGTTCAGGACAGTCGCTTTCCGTTGATGCCTTGCTGGCTTGCAATGTTTGCAGACCCATCAGGAGGGGCTTTGTGTCATTCTTTGACATTTGGGCGTTGCAGCTATGTAAACTCTTAGGGCGACGGTGGAGCCTTTGACAGGCCATTCACCCCATCCACGTTTGGTTTCTCACATCTTTACCTTCTACGAATATGATGCTACGGAAACCGCATGGAGTCGAACGATCCGGGAATAAGCCACTTGCCAAGGCAACTCACTCGTCGGAGATCAGCCGGAAGATCGAAGCCGCAATGGCGCACATCGACGCGAAGCTGGAGACCTTACTTCACCGAGAAGAGGAGAGGCACAGACAGCCGCAGAGATTGGCAGCCCGGCCCAGAGAAAGGGTGGGGGGCGAAGCGCATAGGTATGCATAGGTGTCCTTCTTGGTTGATTTGGTTTAAACATAGGGCCCTGGTTTACCTGGTGGTTCAATCAACTACCAGGGCCAGGCCATCTATTTTCCACAAAAAGGACACCTATGGCCTATGGCGCCTTTTCGCTGCGTCTCATGCGATTCGTGTCTTGGCTCTGTGTCGAGCTTCCCTGCCTTGGGGATCCGCGTGTCACCTTGCGACCTGGGCGAGTCAGATAAGCCTGGCCCGCCCAGCCGACCCCCGAAGATCACGTTGAGTTGAGCTCAAGGTCCGCAGTGGTAAGCTGGTAAGCGAGCGTCCGCTCACAAACGAGGCCACGCGGCTCGCCTGACTGGCAGGTAGATAGCACAAGGGTTGACAAGGGCTCTCATAAATGAAACGCAGAGTCAAAATTGCCAACTGGGTGTGGCTCAAAATTAAATAGAAGGGGTTACGCAGGTTTTGGTCCATGTTTCCACTTACCAGGGTTCCATTTTGGTACCGGTTTTTTGAGCCACAGCCAACTGTGCTCGAATTCTCAGCTTCAGAGGTTGGAATCCAAAAGCCTCGAGTACCGCACCTTCTCAAGACAGATTTTGTAAACACCTCCAACCGTCAGAGGGTCTCAGATACGCGCCAGAAGGCGGGACTCTTTCTGCGCTGCCTCGGACTGCACGTGAAAAGAACAGTGGGGCAGCTAGCACGCTTTCTCCCGTTGAACCATGCGTTGGCTTTTGTTCAACACCCCTTGGTGCCATTCTAGTTTGTACAAGTTCAGCTCTTGGAGAACTAGGAGATCCCACGAGTAGTGGACAGGAGTCGAGAAATTGAAGCCTCCCTGTCGCGAGGCACGAGGACACTCCAAAGACACGTTCCGCGTGATGTACATGGAGCAGCCATGGCACGTCAACGGGGGTGGCAGCTTAACTTGGAAATGCAGCAATTGGACTGGGCTGTTCAAGTCATCCTCGATCCTTGTGCCAGATGGTTGTGGTTTCATTGCTGTATTGGCCACTACCAATTACGTATAAGTCAGGGGATTCCTAACGGGCTCCAATAAACGGGTTCCAGCTTGCAGCAAAGAACGCCACTATAATTTGTCTAGGATTCTCCTCAGTCTCCACATCCCCGCAAGTTTCCCTTTCGGAAGTCCACAGGTATCCGAAGACATCCCAGTTTTCAGGGTCCTTTGCATGCTCGTTGCGTGATATTTTTCCGCCTAGGTCAAAGTCTAGGTCATTGCTTACAGCCATTTTGCGAGAAACAAAACAACACCTGGGGAACACATTGCACCAGTTTGGACCCAAGCTGACTGACTCGCGCAGCGCTTCTTGGCGTCCGGTTTTCGTCTGTCGTGTCGTTGCACCCCGAGGTAAGCCCCGCTCCAAGGATTCAGAGCGGACACTTGC